TACTGGGGCATTAGGACTCACACAGATCGTTGGGTGAGCGCCCCCTACTGGCTCCAGTAATACCTCTTCCAACAGCAATCTGAGCTTTCCCAGGTTTCCCATCCAAGTCAGGCTCACACTTGCTAATGATGCTGAGGCCTTCTGATCTAGGGCGGGTGGCTGGGAGATATCCACACAGGTACTGAGAGTTGTGCATTTAGTATTTTACATACAGGCGACATCAAAGCATTTTGCAATCAGATAATCCGTTTATCCTCTATGGTGTCCTTATTCTCAATCCACAGCAGTGCACAACGCACAATCCCCCTTCAGCATCCCTGTTTCCCAGGGCTGCCGGCCCCCCTGCCTCGCACTCAGTTCTCTAGCCTGTCGGAGCCAGCCCCAGCCTACATGGGCAAGTAGACGGACTGGGGAGATCTGTAATTAAAAGTCCTCACCCGAGGTGGCAGCGCTCTCCCACCTTTAAAAGCGCATGCTTGTCAGAGGGGGGAGGGGGGAGGAGACGACAGGAAGCATTACCTACAATTTGCGTGTCATTTTTTTGCCTTAAACATGCTATTACTTCATGGCATTTGTATTCCCTCCAGATGTGCTTTATCTTTTCATCAGACTGAATAGTAGCTGGAGTCCTCAGCCAGCAGCTCTGGGCTGCAGTTTCACTCCTCCCCACAGCTAATCTCAGTCTCTGTCCACAGCGCTCCCGTCCTGCCCCCAGTCTTCATCACACCCCACAGACGCTCCCAATCCCGCTAGAGACCGTCTCGCCAGGAGAGCTTCCTCTGGGCAGCCTACACCACCGAATCCTCCTCCTGTCTTTCAAGACTTCCACCTGGCCTGGCGTTCCAAAGCAATAAAACTCTGAATAATGGTTAAAGGTGGGATTGTGTGTAGCACAGTGCAGATGACTTATAAATGCTTTGAAGAAGATGAACTAGAAGCATGCCACATAGAAGCCAAAGAAGCAAGAACGTGAAACTGCAAAGCCCAGTAAAATCTCCCTATGATTTGAAATGTCATCCCTCAAGATACAGTATGAGACCAGCAGCCCCTGTTCTTACATGCTGTGATAAACGTCCATTTGCATCCTTCTTCCAGAGCTGGCATGGATGTGCTCTCGTTTGTGAAGCAGCCTGCGCAGGAACGTTACAAGAGAGAACCCGACAGTAGGTCGATTGATCCGATGATCCAAGAGAACACACTGCTGGTGCAATTACAACAGGAAAGAGGGGAAGAAGTGGAGCGGATCACAAAGATCAATTCTTCATACTTCTCAGCTTCTGTGCCACCTCCCATAGAGAGGAAAAAGCAAGGGGATTAGGGCCATCAAAAGTCCATAATGCCTCATGTCAATGCTAATGATAACGGACACAGTGGAGCTTCCAGATTCCAGCAAACTCCAGATTCCAGGCAAACTCGTTTAAACGATTGATCAATTTGGCAAGTAATGCTTCAGGAAAAGGAATGCTGGTCCTTGGGGGATGAAGAATATTTCTGGTTTATGCTCCAAAATTCTCTCTAAATCACTCCACATCTCCACATCTTCCCTCTTTTATTAATCACAGTTAAATTGATCAGGATTGGAGTCCCTCGTCTAGAACTCGTTAACATACCTGGAAGTTCTTCATGGTCTCTACATTTACATGTACAGTATGTGGACTTAGAATAGCATACCTCTGAGCCAGAGACAGTACATGGCATAAGAACCTACAATAGTCTGGCTTGCAGAGGTCAGGGCACACCATTCACCACATGCACAAGGGCAATTTGGATTGATTTGATTTGGAACACAGGGTCCTCCAGAATCTTACAAAGGAAGCAAGTTTTAAAAAGAAGGGTGGTGGAGCGATATAAATACCGCAGAGCAAGCTCGGAACGAACAAGATGGATTGCGCACACTCCCGAACCGCTGTTCCACAGAGATGCCAAGCCGGAGGGGCAGCCTTAGCGCCCCAGCCTCTGGAACACAGTGAGGCATTGGCAAGATGAGGACCATGATCTGACAGTTTCCATAATCCACCTCTGAAGAAATACACAAACACCTGCTTTCACACAGTATAGGCAGCCCATGCATACAGTAAGTGTATTGTGCATACAGTCAGGTGGATGCTTCACATTGTTGGTGGTGGAGGGCAGACCCCATTACCTGTAAAGCGCTTTGAGTGGAGTGTCTAGAAAAGCGCTATATAAGTGTAAGCAATTATTATTATAATTATTATTATTCCAATTAGGGATGATTATGTAATCCTTTAAACCCTTTATCAAGGGCAACTTCCAGAAGTGGCGTACTGGCTAGCAAAAAAGCAGAAGACTATACCAGAATAAAGAAAACTGCAGCATTTTGTCACATATAGGGATAAAGTCTTCTATGTTAATTGTGTTATACGTTTATGTAAAATTACATTAATAATAATTACTAATTATTAACTTCCCTCAAAGTGCTTTACAGGTAATGGGGGCTCCCCACCAATGTGCAGCCCCACCTCGATGAGAAACTCAAGAAGAAATGTCAAAAGATGTTGCGCAGGTGTTAAAAACTGAGCAGAATTGTTCATCAGACTGGTCAGATAGAAAGCAATTGTTTCCTCTCCCTAAAAAAATTGAATGGAAGGAACAGCCTGCTAATTAATCCCATTCCCGCAGGCAAGACGTTGAAAACATTTGCACGTCCTTCGTCTTCCTCTGAAAGCAAACATTTTACAAAAATTGCCGCGATCGTTTTCTCTTGAAAAATACAGGATGCTTTCCCAAAGATGCAATGTGCATTCAATAAACTCTGTAGAACGCCCCACTCAAGTCTAACTGGGCCCACGTACTCACTGTGGTTAGTTGTGTAATCAGTGCGCTATGCGTTTCAGTTTCACTGTACCCCATATAATCGTCTGCCAGCTCCTTTCAGTGGCGACTTGGGCGTTTTTCCCACAATACAGACAGAAAAAGCATTCGTTAAGAGCAGCATCATTTCCTCCAGTGGTGTCTTGCTGATCACTGGAGTGCAAGAAGACTCTGCTGTTCGGCCGATGAAGGAGAAAGGAGCTCTGGGGGTGTTCCTGCTCTGTGCTTGGGTGCGGGTAGCCTTTTCCATCAAGCTACGTTTGCCATTTTTTTTTAAAGGAAATAAAAGCATGCTAAAAAAAGTCTTAAATCATCCCATTGAAAAATCTGCAATCTTGTTCTTTCATTAGGAAAAAAAAACCTGATGCAATCTTAGAATAGTGCTCAGTAATAGCCTGTCCTTCTACAAGCAGAGCTTTAACTCACTTCATTGACTTGGTGTACCACCACCCTCCACACCACTACCTTTCCAACCAGCCCCACCAATTAGGAAGGAAGCGGGTTTCTCCCACATCCTCCCTGGCTTAAGCTCAACTGCCGTCTCACAGGTTTCGTGCTCGGGGTGTCTGTACGGACGATCAAGTAAGTGCATTGAAACTTGACAGGGGCGCCAGCAGTTTTGGCCACCCTTGGACGACTACAACATTACGCCCATTGTGCTGCAGGCCGAGTGGCCGGCGCTGCCAGGAAACCACAAACCATACATTAACGTCGGGCCAGCTCGCTGAAGAGCTTTTGTCTGAGATCTGGTAGCAAAGTGGAGCTCACAGCAGATAACTCCGGCGAGGCCATGCGGTTCGGTTAGCTTCTCCGACCTCTCGCCTGCACCCCCATTCACTCCGAACTGCAGAGGGGCGCAGGGGGGCGAAGGGGAGAGAGGTGTGCGCGAGGGAGTTCAGGCACCAGGCAGAAGCAGGTGTCACCTGGACAGAGTGCGCTGCCCTCCTGTAGCAGCTGCATGATCTTCACCCTGTGACCGACCGGCTACTGCGCTGCAACCACATGCCCAGCAGGGCTGGGGGAGAGCTTATACAAACAGAAAAAAGGTTCCAGACTAGATGAGCCCAGGTGACTCACTTCGTTCCTTTGGTTGTGAGGAGCTTGATGTCATTTCTTAAAGGATCCTGTAGAGTCAGCTTTAACAATGTGAGCGAAACACGTCATCGTCCTTGTAGACGTGTAGAGGAGGAAAGGTTTTTTTTGCAAACAAAATGTTTTTTCTCGCTCTGGTGCGAAATATTAAACTGTTTCAACTGAAAAAAAAATGATCCTGGATATTACCCAAGCCATGTTTTGGTTAAAAAAGTAATTTTGCTAGATTGAGATCCTTAAACCTTTTGAGGAGTAAATTTTGTGCTTTGGCCAGGGCAGCTTTTGAATGTCTTCCTCAAAGACAGACCCCCCCCCTCCTCAACTTTTCCCACCACCTATTCCTTGCAACCAACTCCTACTGGCCTTCCCAATACACAGCCTCAGCCCCTGTCCAGCACAGTGGAGAAACGTGATCTTTCCCTGCGCCCTCCCAGACTCCTCAGACTCCAGTGGCCGAGACTTTCAGTCTCACACCCAGGTCCGACACCATTCTCAACACGGCATGGTGACAAACACTCCGACATGAAACAAACACAGGCATTCCCAGTCCGTGGCTGCAGCAGGGCCAGGAGAAACTAGATCGGACAAGAAGATAAAAACCTGCACTCGTTTCCCACACTGAGGTTGAAAAGAAACTCCACCGTTTCTCCATACATGGAAAAAACGCAACCACCACTCTAAATTATTAACATGCAAGCATTTCAAACACATGGCCAATCTTTAAAGCAAACAAACATGACCTAGATTAATCAGTGGAAATTTCAAACGCACGGGTCTCGTGAAGTGTGCAGTCTCTTTGATACACGTGCCGATTGCCATATCTGATAAATTAGTTTTTCAAAGTAGCCCTGCCGAAAGATCCTCACAGGACTGAAACGGTAACAGAATACTTGAGATGTCACTGCCACGCTGATCCTTTAACAGGCTAATGAATAATTGAAATTGTTTTTAAAGACATGGATATTTAGGAGACAGCTGTATTGGGCAAAAAGAGAAACACCTTATTTAACTGAAAAGCCCTTTACTAAATGAAAGGACTGGGACTCAGTTAATGAAGAACTGACACAACCCCAGAAAACAGTTATTATGCAAATACTTTATTATGAATGTGTGAATGGGTGTTAGCTTTTTTGTCTGGGTATTAATAGTATACGAAAACTATACAACAAAACCAGGCTCACCCTTTTTTTTGCTGTATAATTTTTCAATATGGTACTGAAAGATTTTATATATATATAAGCCAAAGTGCATTTTTCATTTTCTTAACTTGTCCATATACACATTGCACCATACATAAATAATTACGTTGTAAAAATGACTCCGTATTTACAAGTATAATATATATTTCATATAATATATAAAACTTTATATTAAATCTAGGTAGATGATATTTGGGATAGTTTTCTTTTGTGGGAAGTGTTCTGTCTGGGTGTTGGTGTGCCCCCTGCTGGGCGGGGGCGGGAGTGTTATCTGTGATTGTTCAGGAGGATCTCCAGCCAGCAGGGGCAGGATGTGATGAACTGTCTCGAGTAGCAGGGCCCCCAGCCCTTGGCAAAGCTGATCCGGACGCTGTTGGGGTCGTAGGGCCCGTCCGCGTAATCCGGGTCGGCGCCGTGCTGCAGCAGGCAAGACCTCTCGTAGTCGAAGACTTTGATGGAGTACCCCGGCATCACCTTGCGCACGATCAGCGTCCGGCAGTTGGGAATGTCCAGCGTGGGCGAGTTGACGAAGATGGGGTGCTCGCTGCGGTTGTAGGCCCAGACGCCGTCGGGCTCCTTGCTGAGCAGGATCCCGTAGCCGATTTTCCCACGAGTCCTTTGGACGGTGTGGCTGCGGTGCTCCAGGCTGAGCTGGCCCAGGCAGAAGCCGTTGCCTTGAGGTAGGTCGTAGAAGATGCTGACGGAGTGCTCGTACACTGTGTAGAGGCGACCCACGCGCGTGCGGTGCTCCCAGTACGCCACGTTACACCAGTGGCTCTGCTTCGGAGCGTCGGGAGACAGGCTGGCATCTAAAGGCGGGGGGGGAGAGGAGACAGACAGACAGGATGCTTATTAACGAGAACCTGAAACAGAAACAAAAAGGCGAGGCTCGGGTTACGCCGTGCCGCGTGTAAACAGCCGAGCTAAAAGGAAGGATTAAGTTTAAGGGGATTAGCGTCAAGTTTATTGTTTGCAACAGATGTCTCTCCTATAAATACAGAACCGTACTGAAATTAAAGCAATGTATAAATACACAGTTAGCCAGCGTGCGCGCACACAGATAGATCCATTCTGCCGGGTATAAATATCAGGGCTGGTGTGATGGGGGTGGGGAGGGGCATGGTCACGAAAGCAGTGTGTCCAGCCTGCTGCACACGGACATGTGCGGAACAAGCTCTTGGCCTGGGAGCTGTTTTTAGCAAATCTGAAATATGTGCAGAGCCACGCCACGCAGAAACTGAGTGGCCCAGATAACACTGGGGAGGGAGCCTATGGTAATATAGTGTAGCCGGCCAGTGTAGCAGGACCGTGTAAAAACATTCAGTGGCAGAATGGCTGGTGAACTACAGCAAGCTCTTCTTCACTGGCCAGGAATCCCTAAGGAGTTCTGGATACCTGGAGCCCAGGCAGAGAGAATGAAAAGAACACAACATAATCACTTGGTGACACCTAAAGTCCGACTCAAAAATATATCGCAATACACAACTGAATAAGCTCATTTACAGTCGGAATACAGTAGGTCTGCAATCCATTAACTGTTAGCACGCACAACTGCTGTGAACACCAACACTGATTTGGAAAAAATGAAGACGTTAGCGCGATTAGTGAAATCCAGAACTCCACGTCGGTCAGGAGAACTTGAGATCCCTCCTGCCAGTTCGCCAGAGGTGCTGCTCCAGACTGAGCGAGGAACAGCAACAAAACCTAGCCACCACGAAATCGCCATGGTAATGCAGGTTTCACGCATAAAAGGAACGTTTCGATGGATTAGTATTCACTCAGCCCTGCTGCCTTGCAGGCTGAGATAAATCATGCTTCCTCAGACACACCTCTGTCTTCCCTGGACACACACACTACTGCCTGCCGGTCTCAGGGCCCATTACACAGGAGAGGGTGAGAGGGAAAGGGAGAAGGAGAATGAGCACTACGGGGTAGGGGGAGCCTCACAGTGTAGCTTTCACGCTACCAAGAGTCTGATCTCATGAATAGACGCCAATAAATGACTTCAAACACAAAAAGGACAGGGGGTCTGTAGTACCAGCATCAACGAACTAGGAAGTGCAAAGCAATGACATGGAAAACAGGAGGGTCAGTCCCAGCTTGGGTTCATCTGATCTGGGGCAGAAGAGGGCCAGGTTGTGACAAACGTCAACAGGAAGCCCTGCACTGTGTGGAAAACTCCATGTGGACTGGGCTCCCCTCCCACCTGCCCCCCAGCTCCCCCAGAGCTGGTCGCCCAGAGGCTGGAGTCACTGTTTTAACGTCAGACCAGGGAAGCACTAAGACCTGAGCTCAGAGTGAACCAGCAGGGACAAGACCAGCACCTGGGCTTCATTAGTGACTCCGTGCACTGTGGACACCCTCTCATGTCCACATTCCTTCCAAAACCCGAGAGCCTCTGCTGAAATGGACTTTGTCGTATCTCCAAACAGATCTAAAAACAAATCTCGAGTGTCTGTGAAGTTAAAATTGAATCTTTATGGCTTTATGGGTCACATTAACCTCCTCTGTCTAGGTCACAGGTATATGCAACACTCGTGCCCTGGGAACCTTCAGATGAAATTTAAAATAAAAAAAAAGCGAGTCTCACATTTAACCTGGGAGAGAAACGACATCCTTCTCAAAAAAAAATAATCCGAAGAGCCTCGAGAGAAACTGAGAGGAAGACTATCATTAAAGACACTCCTGTCAAATTCTCATCCCCCCCCAACCATCAACCTCCACCAATGACACCTCCACCCCCCAGCCCCCCTGCCCACATTCCAGACGGTCCGGGCCCTGGGTCTGGGGGTTCCGTGGCCCAGGCGGGGGGTGCCCCATCGGTCAGCACCGGCTCGGGGGACGGCATTCAGCTCCCTGACAACTCTGCACAGGCCCGCAACCCCCTGACCCCAGCCTTCATGCTATCAGCTCTGATTAACTCGCACACAGAGTGATGCCATTATTTTGCTTCAGAGAGTCTATTGACACAGAGGATTTAAAACCCAGAGCCTGTGGCCCCATTCCTTTCATTTTCCTGCCTCCATGGGCTGTAATGACCTCCCTCTCCATTAACTACGCTCCTTTAAGGTGGAGCGCTACAGATGCCCCTTTTCAGATATCTCCATTTGCACTTCCTCCACCTCCTTCTTTTCCCTTGCTTCGAGAAACTGGCCAAAAGCCATGTGCAAAACACGCAGGGCAGCCTTCGCGGCTTTGTGCTCCAGCGCAACATGTTTGCTGCCCGTTTTCTCCAAAAAGTTCAACGAGCTGCACATCGAGCACGAGGCAGCGCGGGCCAGAACAGGCGAAATGGAAAGATGTGTTTTTTCTCCACTTGAGCGCAGTGCGAGAAGATTAGCTGGGGCTGAACTTGGAGAGCAGAGCCGTTCTTGCACCGAGACAAAAAGCCTCGAGAGGTCGTTCTGTCAGTGTTCTGTCCTTCTGCGATGGAAAGAAAGGCTCTTATTAGCTAAGGGTTTGGAAAGGCTCTGGTCCGTCATGACAGAGCCTCACAGTCAGTTTTATTACAACACCCATTAAGCTCTTCAGAGAACTGCAGAGAAAAAGAACAGAAACTGGAAAAAAAGCTCCCCCATCATTTGAGGCCCATGTGGGGCATTAGCAAATTCCAACTCGACGACTCCTTTCAGACTTAACCAAAAAATTGGAACCCGGTCCAAAGCCAGAAAGCCTTTTTCTCTTGCGAGAGCTGAAAAGTTTGACTTGGATGCATTTAGAGCTCACTGTTGCCTACAAAGACAAAAGAGTGGTCTGCGTTTTTGTTTGCTCGGCATTTTTCTTTTCTGCTTCATTCGCAAGGAGGCCCCGTCATATTAAAATGAGCACAATCAACCCACAGCAAAAGTACAGCCTATAGTGTATTCCACCTGTGTCTGTGCTTGTTGCTGTGCTGCATACCAGTCACTACTGCAGCAAGTCCACATAAATAACAAAGGATAAATCTATAAAATCCTTTGGTTTCAGTCATTTCACAGTTTCATGCCCTAACTATAAATGTCCTGCAGGAATGCGAGTCGATTGTTCATTTAAACCAAGGCGTCTGTCCTTGCCTGCGTTCACTGCACAGACCTCCTCCTCCTCTTGGAGACAAACAAGCCCTCGGCAGGGCTGGTGGTGGAACAAGTCAGGAATTTCTATTCTTTTCAATGGGGCTTCAAGAGCAGTGTGAGGAGCAAAGGTTAATAATATGTTTAATGTTTGGCTTGAAAGAAGACAAAGCAGTTAAAACGCAGGCGGCCGGGCTGCTGTGTGTTTCTGCTAGCGTCATCAGGCAAGCCAGCAGTGCCCAGTGTGAGTGAAGGGCAGAATTCACTGGGGCAGGAGAACGCTCTGGGAACACCTTAACAGAGCACAGTGACGGCTTCACAGCTCCCCCGCCCCCCCCAAGACCTTCATTTGTTTATATAATTTCCAGGGAGACTCAGGCCTCTACACAGGTCCTCCTGTCCTGCCCTCTCCCTGCTCCACACACTCCACTGCTACCCCAATGGCACTGCAGCTCCTCCTGTAGCACTGCCTACCACAGGCCGGAGAGTTCCCTAGTAAAACCGTACGGCAGCACTGGAGTCAACCACTTCAACTTCCAATGTACCCTAAAATAAGCCCAACCAAAACTCTACCGCACACCCCAGACGGTGGCAGTGTAAATACCCCCACGTGTGGCTGCAGAGTTCCTAGCTGCGAGGTACGGACTACATTGGGTGGGTATGACAAAAATCCACGCACAATTTGAAACGAATTCTTTAAAAAAAACAACTATTTTTTTGGCCAGAGCCTCGGGTACAGTGACTGTGAAACTGGTCTTGAAAAGACACGTCACCAGAAAAACTTTTTTCAGATTCTGCTTTCCTTAAACGTCCTCAGGGGACCTGGGTTTCTTATTCTGTACTTGCGAGAATCCGTAATTTACTAATACAGTTACTACTATACTACTACAACTACTACAGCTACTACTACTAATAAGCTTTATTTTTATGTAGCTCCTTTAAAAGTGGCTTCCCAAAGCGCTTAATAGAGCAACAGAAAATACACATTGAGAGGAGACAGAAAATGGGATATGGAAAACTAAGGGACACAGAGAACCAGTTAAATAAAAGCACTTCTGAAGAAAAGGGTTTTCAGTATAGATGTGAAAGAGCTCAGGGAAGGTGACTCTCTGATATCCGTAGGGAAAGAGTTCCAAAGCTCTGGGGCGAAGGAAAATTCTTTTCATTTGGACCACAGAAGCCCAAAATAAAATGGAAATAACAGCACGACACTACTGGTTTAAGGCAGTTATGTCTGCATGTATTGCACCACCATGTCGCATAACCCTCACGTTAAATCCAGGTGCTACTGCAGATCAGTTTAAACATCACTACTCTCAACTCCCTGAACACTACACCTCGGAGTGTGTCATGTCAGTCACTCCTGCACACCGCAGCACAGATACTCTTAGACACCCAGTGGCGTTGCACTGAAAGGGTTAATCAGCCAGCCCATCAATCAGTGTGATCGCTAGATAGATAGAACAGCAGGTTCCGTCCCAGTGGGAGACCATCCTGGAGGGACAGGGAGCCCCTTTCTCAACACCCCACACGGCTGCAGGCTTCTGTTTCAACTGACCGCAAAATGTGCCACACGCTATATAAACTCGAATGTTTACACGGACAACGAAAGCCATTGGAGGGGTTCATCTGGGAACAAATCACTACTGCAAACTAAACAAGCTAGATGGACCCCTTGTTTTCAGCCTTCCCTCTGTCCTCACATGAGCTAAAACCCTAAACTGGCAGGCAGGAGCTTCACTGTAAATTAGCCCTGGCTT